TCTATTGAAACAGAGTGAGAAAAAGAAGTCAAGGTAGACAAAATGTGGCAGGCCAATAAAAAAACAAAACTAAACTAAAACATGAGCCCTGCTACAACTGCAAAAGTTGTATGTACATTTGGACTAGAATTGGAATAAACCACACACACACACACAAATGTAAATTTGAGAGTGAGAAGGTTGAAGAGTGAATTTTTTTTTTAAATATATTTTATTAAATTTTTTACAGAGAGGAAGGGAGAGGGATAGAGAGTTAGAAACATCGATGAGAGAGAAACATCGATCAGCTGCCTCCTGCACACTCCCTACTGGGGATGTGCCCACAACCAAGGTACATGCCCTTGACCAGAATCGAACCTGGGACCCTTGAGTCCACAGGCTGACGCTCTATCCATTGAGCCAAACTGGTTAGGGCAAGAGTGAATTTTTAAAGGTAAGACATTTTAAAGTTTTTGTGCAAGATAGAATAAGCTAACCTGTATCTGACACAAAGTGTTTAGTCCAGCATTCATCGTGTAACCCTGGGATACTGTTGTCCCTGTTTTACAGATGAGGGAATTAAGACTCGAGATTAAGTAATTTGTCCAAGGACCCGGGGGTAATTGATTCGGCCAGGATTTAAACTCATATGTTCTAATTCCAAGTGTTCTTTTTCCGATTTCTACGCTGGAATAGGGTGCCTGATGCTGACACTGCCATGTTTACTAACTCTTCTTTTGGGTGTACCTGCTGCTGTTCTGGCCTGGACACTCTTTCCTAGGAACACCGCTTCAGGGTACTTGGAAGAGCCAGTCAGGGGAACTTTAGGCACCAGCTGTTCATCTCCTCCTTGAAAATAGGAAGAAAACCCAATCTTTGTTGTAATGGCTCCTGCTTTCTGGTTTAGATGAAGTTTCATTTTCATGTTCTTAGATGGAGCATTGCATTAAAAAAAAAAAGAGTACTAAGTTAAAATGTGTGTGCGTGTGGGCAAAACCTGGAAGGCAACAAGCAAAAATGTTATGTTGGAGGCTTGTTTGTTTTTACTTATTTCATGTGCTTTTTGTATCTGGAGACACTTGTGAATCTCCAGATTCAGGACAACACAATAGCATAAAAGCTATGAAATGGAAGCCACAAAATCATGTTGAGACACAGAAGCAGGGTAATGACCAGCAGCAAGGCCTAGTCAGTGGTTCTTTCTCAGAGCTGTCTGCTGTCTCCAGGATCAACTCCTGTTGTCCTGTAACCATGAGGAATCAACCCCAAATTGAGGGACATTCTATAAAATAGCTGGCTTGTACTCTTTAAAAATGTCAGCTATGAAAGACAGTCTGAGAAACCTTTCTATATGAAAAGAGAAGAAAAAGACATGATAACTAAGTGCACTAGGATCCTGAATTGGGTCTTGGATTAGGAAAGTAAATGTGATGAAGGGCATTATTGGGATAACTGGCCAAATCTGAGTAAGGGCGATCAATACATTAAGTGCTGTATCAATGTTAAATTTCCTGAAGTTGATAAATGTACTATGTTTATGTAAAAGGGTGTTCTTAGGAGATGCAGAATCAAGTACTTGGGAGGAAAGGATCATACTGTCTGCAGCTTACTCTCACGGGTTCTGCAAAAACTGTGTGTGTGTGTGTGTGTGCGCGTGTGTGCGCGTGTGCGTGTGTGCGTGCGTGTGTGTGTGTGTGTACACACATTACCCAGGTCTAATTCCTTACAGCCAGGCAGGAAGAAATACATGTGTGGTGTAGAGATGGTTTTACTAGGCATGTATGTACAGAGAACTGTAGAGCCTGAAAAGAGACACCTGGTCAGTTTTGCAGGGGTAGCCTAAAAAAAGTCTTCATAGTCACTTAGACTAATCCTAGTGAGGGTTTGGGGGTGAGGTTTTCTAGTGAGGAGCGCATTTAGAAGAAAGATTGCTCATGCATGTGAGAGCTCATTGTGTTATTATGGCTGAAAGGGCTGAGACATGGGCAGGGGCCATGTTCTGATGGCCTTGTACATCTTATGAAGGAGTTTGAGTTACGTCCATAGACATGATGGAGATAATCAAGATGCCTTCAGCTGCGAGGTAATATTAAACTCCAGCTAGAACGACTTAAATGATAGGAAATGTATTTTCTCACGTAACAAGAAGTGTGGCTCTTTCCTGACCTGGTGGGGCAGAAGGCGCCATCATGGGAGTCAACATCTGCCACAACAAAGACCGAAAGGTTCAGTGCGAGGAACCCCCCAAGAGCCAGGACATCTACCTAAGGCTGTTGGTCAAGCTATACAGGTTTCTGGCCAGTTTCACACCAACTCCACCTTCAAGTGGTGCTGAAGAGGTTGTTCATGAGTTGTACCAACCGGACTCCTCTGTCCCTTTCCCAGATGGTCCGGAATATGAAGCTTCCTGGCCAGGAGGGCAAAACCACAGTGGATGTAGGGACTAAAACCTGTGACGTGTGTGTTCAGGAGGTGTCCAGACTGGAGGTGTATGCACTTCGAGTGAGCAGCTGCTCCTAGAGCCACATCCTCAAGGCTGGGGGCAAGATCCTCACCTTTGACCAGCTGGCCCTGGACTCCTCCCAAGAGATGTGGTCTTGTCTTCCTTCTGGTTCTTGCAAGGGCCTCAGAGTGTACAGGCATTTTGGCAAGGCCCCAGGAGTCCCTCACAGCCACACCAAACCCTACGTACAATGCAAGGGCCGGAAGTTTGAACACGCAAGAGGCTGACGGGCTAGCCATGGGTACAGAAAATGAACCCCAGATCCTACCTTGTTATTAAAAAGATTCTGGATGCTGGGGGAGGGAGGTCATGAAGATAGGGAAGTTCCAGGGTTAGATAATTCAGCTCAGAGATGGCTTTATGAACCCAGGTGTTTGCATTTTTTTTGCTGCAGCCATCCTTAGTGTGTGAATGGCGTCTCTGCTCCTGGTTGAAGAGAGTTGCCACAGTTCCGTAATGAAATCTAGTGAAAGGGGAATCTCTTTCTGAGCATCCCTTATTATTATTAGAAAGGAAAGCCTTTTCCAGAATTGTCTTGGCCAACTTGCCTTTAAGTCCCTTAGCCAGGATTGTGTCACCTGCAAGGAGAAGATGATTGTGGCGTTTGGCTTCTCCAGTGGCTCTCCCTCCTGTGGCTAAAAGGTGTTACCCTTCCTGAGAAGAACCTCTGAGGAGCTAGCCAAAAGAGGTTGTTGTGTAAGCAGCCTCCAGGGTCTGTCACCATTGAGAAAAAAAATTTCTCTAAGTGAATGGTGGAAAGAGGAGTGGCTGCTAAGTTAAAAAAAAAAACAAAAAAAAAACAGCCACATGCACGCATCCCCTTGACCACTTTATCAGGACAACTCTTTATTTCTGGCATATTACTCTCCAGCCACTGCCCATATGCACATACTTTAGTTCTAATCTTACTCTAGGTGTCATTTTGCATACAGTTTCCATTGGTATGTTTTTATACACCATATAAACATTTTTCTACATTTTTATAGTCTTCATTATTCTAATGTATAATGTTTTATCATATTTTATAGCAATTTATTAAGCTTACTTTTGGACAGTAGTAATAATAAAGGCTAATACTTACTGAGCACTTACACATTTATTCATTTAGTCCTCACAACATTTCTTTTTTCTTTTTTTTTTTTTTTACAACATTTCTATTGGGGTATGATGGCCATTTGTTACTCCAGTTTCCAGGTAAGAAAGCTGAGGCTCAGAAAGTCTGAGTAACTTACGTGAGGTCACACAGTTAATTAGCGGGGAGCTAGCAGCAGAGCTGGAGTTCAGATGCAGGCAGTCTGGGTCTATAGCCATCAGGTTAAACTACCTCTGGATATTGTTACCCCTTTTTTGATGTTAATACTATGATGAACATATTTCTACATATCTTGTCCTTGCACATGCATGCATAGCCAGGTTGTGGGTTGAAGAATGCATGGTTGCCCTAACCGGTTTGGCTCAATGGATAGAGCGTCGGCCTGTGGACTCAAGGGTCCCAGGTTCGATTCCGGTCAAGGGCATGTACCTTGGTTGTGGGCACATACCCAGTAGGGAGTGTGCAGGAGGCAGCTGATCGATGTTTCTCTCTCATCGATGTTTCTAACTCTCTATCCCTCTCCCTTCCTCTTAAATAAATAAAATTAAAAAAAAAAAAATTTCTGCAAAAAAAAAAATGCATGGTCAGTGAGGGACTAGAGATGACATATATAGACCACATGTTAGAGAAATGTTACTTTGAGAAAGGGCCAGAAAAAAGGAGTTGCTTTCACTTCTTATGTTCAATTACCAGGAAGGATGATCTATTTTTTTTTACTGTTTAAATCTTTCTTTGTGATACCTGCTTTTGTCCTTTGTGCATTTGGGAGTCAGGGTGCCTCTCATATTAATGTATGATTGACATTAACCCCTTTCATATGATACAGATATTAAGCTCCTGTTTTATTTTCTTAAATTATTTTTGGTTTCTATATATGTATTTATTATTTTCTATAGCTTCAACATTTTGAGGAATCTCATGTTCTGTTAAGGCTAGTTTTTTAAAATATATAACTTACCTTTTAAATATGTAATTACTTTACATATTTAGGTTAGGCTTTACTTTAATTTTCCCAAATTGCTGTTTATCTAATCGAATGCCCAACTGCTTTTTACACAATACAGTCTTAAAAGCATTTTCACCTTATAATTCAGTTTTCTTTTAACTCTCCATTGTTTTCCTCTAATTTGTTTATGTGTTTGTCCCCATAACACATGATTTAATTTTGTTTGAAAATATGATCAAATCTAATAGGGCTAACTCTCTTCTCATCTCTGTTTAACTTTTTCTTTTTCAGAATTTAAAAAAATTTTTCATGTTTTATTTTTCCAAATTAACTTTCAAATCATTTTGACATTACTCTTAAGACATGCTGGTGTTGTGTGTTACATATGCCTCTTTAGGTTAAGCTCATAGTAGCATATGACAGTTGGAGAGCTATTATGGTTACTTAGTTTCTCACTTTCATTTCTGTTTAATTTCTAGATTTTGGACCATTGTTTGACTTGGAAAATGATCTTCCTGATGAGCTGATCCCCAATGGAGAATTAGGCCTTTTAAACAGTGGGAACCTTGTTCCAGATGCTGCTTCCAAACATAAACAACTGTCGGAGCTTCTGCGCGGAGGCAGCGGCTCTAGTATCAACCCAGGAATAGGAAATGTGAGCGCCAGCAGCCCTGTGCAGCAAGGCCTTGGTGGCCAGGCTCAAGGGCAGCCGAACAATGCGAACATGGCCAATCTGGGTACTATGGGCAAGAGCCCTCTGAACCAGGGAGATTCTTCAGCCCCCAGCCTGCCCAAGCAGGCAGCCAGCACCTCTGGGCCCACTCCCCCTGCTTCCCAACCACTGAATCCGCAAGCACAAAAACAAGTGGGACTGGTAACCAGCAGCCCTGCCACAGCGCAGACAGGACCTGGAATCTGCATGAATGCTAACTTTAACCAGACCCACCCAGGCCTCCTCAATAGTAACTCTGGCCATAGTTTATTGAACCAGGCCCAGCAGGGGCAGGCGCAAGTCATGAATGGATCTCTGGGGACTGCTGGCAGAGGAAGGGGAGCTGGAATACCGTACCCTGCTCCAACCATGCAGGGGCCCACAAGCAGCGTTCTGGCTGAGACGTTAACACAGGTTTCGCCACAAATTCCCAGTCACGCGGGACTGAACACAGCACAGGCAGGAGGCATGACCAAGGTAAGTGAGCATCAGTGCTTTGAATGCTTCCTAGTAATTGGTGTCTGTTCCCTCCAAGTAACATGGTAAAATGGGGCCACGTGGAAAGTCTCCTTCAGGCTTTCTTCTGGCCCCTCCTACTTGGAAGAAACAGATTTGGTATCTGGAGTCTTTCCAGGATAAAGATCTCTGCTCCATGTTTTTAAAAGGGGAATTCTTAAAGGAATAAAAAGTTGAATAGCATGCACATCAGGCATTTGAAAACATAGGAAATGTGTTCGAACTGATTGCCAGTTTTCAACCTCTGAAGAAAATGTGTGGAAATAGGACCACATGGTTGAAAGAGGCAACTTCTGCTGAGAATCCGTTTGTATCAGTGAATCTGATAAAGGCTGTTTTACCCAGCTAGCCGAGTTTTTACTCTGTTTACCCTTTCCTTTTTACAACCACTTGATAAAGTGTCTATTGTCACTGTGTCTATTGTACCAACAAAAAAGTTGTGTTCCAAGCTGGTCAGCTACTTGCCATGGTTAACAGGGAAGAGGTACCAGAGCCAGAGGGGCAGTGCAGTCTCTTGGGTACCAGAGGAAATTCAAAGTTCTAGTTCTCAAAGTGGGCTCCCCATCAATATCATCTGGGAGCTAGTTAGAAGTATATAGCTGCTGACTCAGAAACAGAGGGTGGGCCCAGCACTCCAGGCTTTAAGAAGCTTCTATGTTGTTTCGAGGCCTGGGCAAGGTTGAGAGCTCTGCTGTAAGGAAAGGCCTAGGCTGGGGTTTGTAGCTGCCAGCCTTGCAACTGGTGTGTAGAGTAGGAACCAAACTTGGATAATAGGGAAGGCAAATGCCCAGATAGATATGAGAGAACTGGAAAAGATTGAAGTTCACAAGGGAAGAAGAATGCCAGCTAAATCCCAGTGAAGGAACAAATGCCCGTAGGAGCTCTGAGCAATATTTGGTGCAGCAAATTCCAGAATAGAAAAATGGTTTGGGCTGTTCTTTGGATTTGATTAATTCCATATAAAGAAAAGGGAAAAATTAGAATAGAATGCAATTTCCCCACAAGGTTGATTGTGAGCATTAGGTGACAGATATGAAGTCCTGTGACTATCTTAGGTAAGGAGCAGAATTTTTTTTTTTTAAACTTAAGAAACAAAGGTGAAGTAATTCCCAACATCGAAATTGCAGTTATCTCTTTTGAAAATTAGCAAAAGACAATGTGAACTTAAACTTTAGTTATTCCTGGCATTTGAAGAGGGGTCTGTGTATGCACATGCCTTTTAGAGTTGGGCTGAGAAGGGATTTCTGATGGGTTTGGGATTCTTGGATAGATTGATGTTTGTTCTTTCTTAATCCACTCATCATTCCAATCCATACTACCCAGTTTAAAAAAGCTTTTTATTTTGGAGAATTTAAATCATATACAAAAGTAGTCATAGTAGCATAGTGCAGGACTTCTCATTCTTTTTGGTCTTGGATTCCTGAATAATCTTAAAAATTATTGAGGGCCCTAAGGAAATTTCTTTAAAATGTGGATTATATCTGTCAATATTTGCCACACTGGATACTAAAAACAGACTTTTAAAACACAAGTATATATTCCATTAGCCATCAAGCAAGGTGATATCACATGTCACAGAGCCTCTGGAAAACATCTCTGTTCTTATGAGAGAATGAAGGTGAAAAAAACAAAAAATGTCTTAGTATTTCATGAAAACAGTTTTGGGCCTCTGACCATACTTAGCCATTGATAATATGTATTCCTAAAAGTTAGACTTGGCATACCCAAACATAAGTGCCATTCTCACTTGTAAATGCATGAATAGTTTCTTTGAGATGTCAAATGTCCACTAAATATTCAAATGTCTACTAAATATTCAAATTTCCAGTGGTCTCCTTTGTCATAATTTTTTTTTTCAGATTATTTTTCAAAATTTGAATAACCCATATTTCAGTCAATTGATAGGACTGTTAAGATTCTATTAATCTCTAAGAGCCTTACATTTTATTTGTTGAAGAATCTGGTGGTTTTGCTTGTTCTGGGGAGTTTCCTGCAGTCTGGGCTTTGTGATTTCATTTTTGTCACTTAATGTCCCTCTGTTTACCCAGGTTTTTCATTCTGTTTTGGGATTCTTTCCTTTGTACAGAGTGACCTTTCTTTCAAACAATACTTTGGAAGTGTTCACTATGTGGAAAGTAAGTTACATTAGTGTTGTGAGGGTAGTCCTCTCTATTACCTATAGGTATCCCAAAGAGGCCAATGGTGAAGAAAGGGCAGGGACTGTCATTTTTGAAAGATTGTCATGGCCTTTGGATGGGACAAAAGAATTAATAGTGGTGGGCAAATAGTAAGAACAAGAGACAAGTTCATTTTAAACTATTCTCTATAACAGCAGTTCTCAACCTGTGGGTCGCGACCCCTTTGGGGGTCGAATGACCCTTTCACAGGGGTCACCTAAGACCATTGGAAACACATATATAATTACATATTGTTTTTGAGATTAATCACTACGCTTTAATTATGTTCAATTTGTAACAATGAAATTGGGGGTCACCACAACATGAGGAACTGTATTAAAAGGTCGCGGCATTAGGAAGGTTGAGAACCACTGCTCTATAA